TACACACACACACACACACACACACACACACACACACACACACACACACACACACACACATACACACACACAGACAAACCCATTAGTTACTTGCCAGTGAAATATCTCTTCCCACACTGGCATGCATGAACCTCCAGTGGGTAATGGGGGGGTTTGTCCTAGTTTTGACTATTTTTCATACTAATGATATATTACAGCTACCATTTACATACCATTTACAATATCTTTTATTGTTATTTTACTTTGTCAGTATTAAAGATGTGCTTGCTAATAAACATTAATATCCACTAAGGACAGAAATGTTCACTTTTGTCTTTTTTATTGTATAGTGATATTTGTAATATTTCACATTGGAGCACTTTTACAATTTAGTCATATATTTATGGCTCAAGCATTGTATGTTTCAGTTTGGGCAAAAAGGTGTTAAAACAGCAGAACACACACACAGATACCCACACACACGTATTGTCACACACATCCTAGACATGCTACGCAACACACTGTTTCAGCGCAGTTTCTACCGAGAGGGACGTTCTTCCTAATGTGTGTCTTTAACATCCAGTCAGAAACTTCACTGATTACAAACCTGAAATACACAGAAACAGCTCATGCTTCAGTTTGATTGGACGAGATGAAAATCACATGACATCCGCTGCATTGACTCAGTCGACCGATTCGTTCAGCGAGTGATTCAGTCAAACGGATGATTCAGAGAGTCATTGATTCGTGAGTCAGTTCACACTGATTACAGTATGTTTGCTGTCGTGTTCATCCAGCGAGGACGTCACAGTAGAAATCATGTCTGTTTATTGTCTCTGTGTTATTTCACAGCCACCAGTCTTTCTCTCATCATAATAAATTCAGATGATAAACTCACATCTCAGTTAAAAATAAGTTCTGTTGCTGTGTAGCTGTAGATTCAGCGGTTAGGAAACACTGTCAGTATTTCAGTTCAGTGTCCGTCAGCATCAGTGGAAGACGAGCCAAAGTCATCAATCATTTGATTAATATTTCTTTCTTTGTAAGAAATGAACTGGTTCTGCTTTAGAAACAGAGGAGAAACAGTTCAGTGTGTGAGCAGAGCTGGTTTAGATGAGATGAAAATATTAGAAGAAAAAAAAGTATTATTTTCGGTGGGAAAAAAAATTGATCATAATTATTGCATAAATATT